CGAACTATGGTTATGGAAAAAGAACCAAATACAAATAAGAAGGTAGCAGCAACCACTGGTTTTTTTATGGGACAGCTCATAAGATTCGTATCCATCTATTATGCGCCCCTTTATCTAGCTTTGGGTAGACCTCATACAATAACTGTCCTTGCTTTACCTTATCTTTTGATTCAGCTTTTCTTGAACACTGAAAAAAAAATTTTTGCTTATGGATCTAATAACCAAAATTCAATCCGTGATCTAGAGAATATCTTTGTATTCCTCAATCATCTTATTTTTCAGTTGCTTAACATTTGTATTTTACCAAGTTCAACGTTAGCCCGATTAGTAAGCATTTATCTGTTTCGCTGTAACAATAAGATGTTGTTTGTAATAAGCAGTTTTTTTGCTTGGGGAATTGGACAAATTTTAGTCATCAATTGCTTGGAATTTTTAGTAGTCTGGATACAGAAAAATTTAGTAATCTGGATACATAAAAATAATGTTATTAGAAAGTACCTAGTCAGAAATTCTATCTTTTTTATTTTACTAAATTGTAGTTTTGGAAGTATAGTATGTATTCTAAGTATTCAGTCTTTAGGCAGAACACCCTTACCTATTCCTACTCAGAAATTTAGTGAGGTCTCAAAAATAGAACAAAGGGAAAAGGAAAGGTTGCAAAAGGAGGAAGAAAAAGACGTAGAAAAAAAAAAGAAATCCACTGAAGAAGATCCTTCCCTTTTTTCCGAAGAAAAGGGTATTTTGGAAAAAGAATTGGACTTGAAAGTAAACGAACGGACTTGGAAGGATCTGATTCTGAATTGGAAATCCTTGAAAAATATGAAAATAAAGAACATATTGTGGCTCTTCTTTTTGATTATAAAAGATGGACTCGGCCATTTCGCTACATAAAAAATAATAGACTTGAACAAGCGGTAAGAAACGAAATGGCACAATATTTCTTTGACATACATAAAAGTGATGGAAAAGATAGAATATCTTTTACCCATCCGATAAGTTTATCAACGTTTTTTCAAATAATCAAAAAAAAGATACCCCTTTTATCATTAGAAAAAGATATTTCTAATAAATTGGACAATTTTTGGGTTTCTAGAAACAAACAAAATTAAATTCTATAAAAATTGATTTGTTAAATCGAATTAAAAATCTTGACAAACCAGTATCAGTCCCAATACTAGAAATTGAAACAACCAAAACGCGATTATGGTATACACAATGATGAGACTAGAAAAGAATACTTACCAGAAGAGTATGATCCCTTGTTAAATGGGCCTTCCCGCGAAGACTAAAAAAAGATATAACGTTGATAAACGAGACTTCGATCAAAAAGTTGAGAGAGAAGGTTATGCTAAATAGACTTCATGCTTTATTGTTGATGTCTCCTTTTGAAAAAAAGGAAAAAAAAACCATTACAAGTTGGTGAGTTCTCAACTTTATCATCGAGTTTCAATTTAACGGATTCAGAACAACTAACAAAATTTTTAGTAAATGTAATTGAGACAGACGATAAAAAATATTCTGCAATAGAAAAAATAGGTAAAGAAGAGATTGGTAAAAAAGTCCCCGGATGGTCATACAAATTAATAACTGAATTGGAACAAATATCGTATTTTAGAAATCCACCAGATGATCATGATATTCGTTCAAGAAAAGGGATAAGTGTATTAATTTTTGAAGAGCCTAAGACTCTCAAAGATAAGACTACAAACAAAGATAAGAATACAAAAGAGACAAATATTCAAGCTATAAAATCCGACAATGATGAGAAAGATAAAAAATATGAAAAAGAAAAAGGAAGATGAGGATAATAAGCTTTATTTGTTACGATATCCGCACCAATCTGATTTTCGCCAAGCTTAATAAAAGACTCTATGCGAACTCAAAGACGTAAAATAGTTATTGAGGGACTTTTTAAAGCAAATGCGCATTCCCCTCTCTTTTTTGACAGGATGAGGAAAAAAAACCTTTTTTTCTATACCATACCTGGCTCAACTGAAACGACTTTTTATAAAATGGTCATCCAGAAACGAGTTCGGTATTTTAGAGTCTACAGAGGAAAAAAAAACAATAATAAAAAGAGAAACCAAAAAGGAAAAGAAACGACGAGAGGAAATAGAACGGTTAGAGATAGGGGAAGCCTGGGAAACTTTCCCATATACCCAAATAATAAGAGGTTTGTTATTAATAACCCAATCAATTCTGAGAAAAAAAATTCTATTACCTTCATTCATAATCGGGAAAAATATAGGGCGTATGCTACTATTTCAAACTCCTGAATGGTCTGAAGATTTAAAGGGATGGAATAAAGAAACGCATGTGAAGTGTACTTATAATGGTATTCCGTTAGCTGACAAAAAATTTCCGGAAAATTGGTTGACAGAAGGTATTCAAATCAAAATTTTATTTCCTTTCTGTCTAAAACCTTGGCACGAATATAAATCACTAACTTCTCGTGATGACTTTTGTTTTTTAACAGTTTGGGGAAGGGAAACAGAACACCCTTTTGGTCATCCACGACAAACACCTTCGTTTTTCGAGCCTGTTTTTAAGGAACTTTACAAATTTGTAAAAGTAAAAATCAAATTTTTAAAAAAGTTTTCAAAAAAAAAAACAAGTTCAAACGAAAAAAGAACAATACACCCGAGTTTAATAAAAAAAGAAAAAGATGATCAAATAAATAACCAGATAATGAATCAACCCTTGAGTAAAATTGAAAAAATTACAGGATTGGAAAAATTATTCACCGATAGACAAAATACAGGCTATTACTCATAGGACAAATACAATTAAAAAAAAACTAGAAAGAATTACGGAAGATAAGAAAAGGCTGACTCTAGAACTAGATATGAGCCCTTACAAAAAAAGTTCGAGATTAGCCTTGTCAAAAAATTTTTGTCAAATGTTAAAAATAAAAAAAAATAGATTAAGATATAAATTTCATTATTTTATAAAATTATTGATTCAAAGAATATCTAACTATATTTTTTTATATACTATATCTATTTGCCAAATGACTGAAAAACTCTTTGTGGAATCAACAAAAATGAACTCTCTTTCAAATATAAAAACGCATAATAATAAGCGTTATAAGGAAAAGCCAGAGAATTTTGGTGATTTATCTAACTTGTCACAAGCATATGTATTGTACAAAATATCACAAAGGAGTTTTTTGAACGTATCTAATTTGATGTCTGTTCTTCAACAAAATGGAACATCTTTCTTGATTGAAAAGAATTTCTTTATTAAAAAAAAAATAAAAGACTCATTTCATAAACAAGGAATACTTCAATCTGAAGGAATAAAAAAAGAACTTAAGCGGTCTAGAACGAGTCAATGGAAATTTTGGTTAAGAGGAATTCTCAATACGATTTATCTCCTAATTTCTGGTCTGCCTTAAGATCACAAAAACAAAAATGGAGAAATAGGGCGAATCGCTATCGTAGGTCTAAACAAAAAGATTTACACAAAAGGAATTCCAGTAGAAAATTAAAATTAAATAATTACAGGAAACAAAAGGATGCTAACTCAGTATTTAATAAAAAAAAAAAAGATAATTTTAAAAAATGCTGTCAATATGATCTTTTAGCATATCAATACATTCAGTATGAAAAAAATAGTGGACCCCCTCCAGGAGCTAAACGGGAAACGATTTCTTATCATTACAAGATGTCACAAAACAACTTGTTTGCGATAACGAAAAATCTTCCTATCACTAGTTTCAGAGAAAAAATAGAAAGGGTCAATATCCCCTATACAGACAAAAATTTAGAGAGAAAATATTTAAATTTGAAAAAGATTAATTTTTCTCTTGATAAAAAAGCGGATATTGAGTCCTGGATCACGGGTAATGATAACAATACTCAAAGTACTCCAATTTTCACTTATAATTATCAATTAATTGATAGAATGGAAGAGATTGTGAAAATTGAGCAAATTTTTAAAAATGAAAAAGATCCTTTTGCTCTTTTGATTCAGACAAATACCGAAGAAAGGAATCTAGTAAATTCTAAAAATTCTTTATTGGATTGGATGGGACTGAATGAAGCAATACTCGACCGTCCATTAACGGCTGAGGAACTTTCGGTCTTCCCAGAATTTCTGTGGTTTGTTAATATATATAAAATGAAACCATGGATTATACCAAGCCAATCACTTATTTCTAATTTGAATCTCAATGATGAAATGACGAATCAAAAGATCGGTAAAATTAAGAATAAAAACAAAGATAAAAAGGATAAAAAGAAAACTGAGGGTGAAACCAAAGGTAAAACTGAGAGTAAAAAAAAGATAAAGCCGAGGGTCAAACCAAAGGGGAAACTAAAGGTGAAACCAAAGGTGAAACCAAAGGTGAAACCAAAGGTGAAACCAAAGGGAAAACTGAAGGTGAAACCAAAGGTGAAACTGAAGGGGAAACCCAGGGGGAAACTGAAGGGGAAACTGAAGGTGAAAAGAAAAGTCAAACTGAGATAGAACTAGAGTTATTCCTGAAAAATTATTTATTTTTTCAATTTAGAGAGGATGAGGATGTTACTTTTAATCAAGGCCTTTTCCAAGATCTCCAGATCTATTGTCTCTTGCTTAGAATGCTAAATCGAAAAAAAATGATGCTATCATGGATTCAAAGGAAAAGTTAAATTTGGGTCTAATGCCACAGATGAATCAGGAAGAGAGTATTCAAGATTCAAAAAATTCAAAAAGAAATGTTCCAGATTCAAAACAGAGTGTTCCAGATTCAAAACAGAGTGTTCCAGATTCAAAAAATTCAAAAAGAAATGTTCGAGATTCAAAACAGAGTGTTGCGGATTCAAAAGAGAGTGTTCCAGAATTTTTAAAAAGGACGGGATTTTTGGTTGACCCCCTTCCGCTGTCTATCAAACCAAACGGAGAATTTCTTATGTATCAAACCATAGTTCTTTCATTGGTTCATAAGAGTAAAGAAATTCTTAATCAAAAATACGTAAAACAACGAATAATTCGCGCTGAAGAGAACAATAATTGTG